CAATGAAAATGTTCAATCTCAAGATTCCCACTGAGTGTATTTAATTGTGGAAAACACCATACATACAGAAGCACCCATAAATGTAATCTTACAGTTTAACAAATAATTATAAACAGAACACACGTGTCACCACCAGCCAGTCTCAAGATATAAAATGTCCCTAGTGCCACAGAAGCCCTTAAGAGACCTCTCTCTCATTATAATTGTCTCCTTCTTCTTTGGGGGGTGCATTGCCCTGCCTTCAGTGGCAACGGTATGCTCACATCTCCTTACAGTTTTACCAGCCGTGCCTGTGTCCTCAGACAATGCAGTTTAGTTCTTGAATTTGATATGAATGGACATCTCACGAGTGCATTTTCTTTTACCTCCTTCTTTTGATCTGTGATTTGTTTGCAAAATTCACCCATACTGGTGTGTAGCTGTCTGTAGCTTGTTTATGTGTTTATTCTTAATTTATTTACTCATTCCATTATGAATGGTTGTTCAGACTGTTTTGAGGTTTTGGCTGTTTCAGTGATGCTGCTATGAAGACATTGGTTCACTGGGGTACACAAGGGGGACCTAAAGAAAGCCCAGAATGTATTCATCAAAATTGTGTATTGATCCTTCCATGTTTAAACTTCAGTCACCTTCAGAGTGCTCTCTGTTGAATGTAACACACCTGTTGAGACACTTTTCCCACTGCTCAAAACAGTTTTTGAACTTGTCCATGTTGCTGCCTTTTAGTGCTTCTGCCATTTTTTTGTTTCACCTCTTCCACATTGGCAAAATGTTTCCTTTGAGGACTTTTTTCATCTATGGAAACAGAAAAAAAGTCCCTCAGAGGTGAGACCAGGTGAATAGGGAGAGTAGGACATGGAGGTCATGTCATTTTTGGTCAAAAACTGCTAATCACTCAGCACGATGTGGGCAGGTGTGCTCATAAATCACCTACCATGAAATGCGCAAATGAGTTGAAAGAGTCTAAAAAAAAAAAAATCACTGAATGCAGCCTCTTACAACAGTGCTAACTGATACACTGATGCCGATGGGTTCCTAGAATACTTGCCTCTTGGAGGAACCCTGTACTACAAGGGGCCTGCCCTCCAGAAGATAATCCAGGTTTTTTTGTGTCCCCCTTCATATATATTAGAGGTAGAATTGCAATTATTTAGGGATATAGGTGGTAAAACTGTAAAGAAATGCAAGGCTATGTTGTCACGCTTTACTAATCAGTGCTATTATTTTCCAAAATGTAGCAAGTGTGTATAAGCAACCATTGTTTAATATGCCTACCAACAATTGGTATTATACTACTTTTCACTTTTTGCTGAACTGGTGGGTATGTAAGGTAGTTTGAGATACCCTGCCAGCTGTCTGTGGAGTTCTCCAATCTAGCACTCCTGTGCCTCGTTCCTGAGTCATAGCCCACAGTCGGTCTGGGTTCCATTTCTAAAGTTGGGTAACTCAAAGGGGACCCCATGATGTGTGTCATGCTGTCCAGTGCTGAACCCCACTTCCTGAGATGACTGTGGCCCACTCACTCACCCAAAGGGTGAAACATCCTCCAGCATGGAGGTCTTTTAGGGAAACTAAGAACACCACGTTGTGATCTCAGAACTCCAAGCAGATCTGTCAGAAAGGAGGCCTGATGGGCACACAGCTTGGGTCAGAAGCACAGTGACACCAGCAGCCACCATACCCCCTCCACATGGCAACTTCTTGTCGTCAGCAGGGCGTCACTAAGTAACTTTCTGAGAACCAAAAGCCATCGAGGCCTTCTCCTCTAATACCCCAGGGTTTTCAAATGCCCCTGTTTTGAGTGGCTGCAGGCCTTCTCTTCTGCCTTAGCCACCATGGTCCCCGCCTGAGGGCAGCCATCCCAAGCTGCCTTGTGGTGTTGGACAGAAGCAGTTTCTTGGTATTTCGGTAACTTGGCCCTGTCGTCCCCTGTGCTTTTGCTATGGTTTTAAGCTTAGAGGAAGCAAAAATTTTAAAGAGCAACTGGTCCCTGTTTTCAAGGAAAATCATACATACAAGATCAATATGTAATAACAGACAAACATGGAGCGGCCGTAGTTGAAAAGTGCTGGAAGGGTCTAGAATCCACCTACCTTTACTACCATCTGCCTCTCAATTGAAACAACTGAAAACAATTGTAACAATTGAAACCCACTGACCTGTTAACTAAGGTCCAAAGGACTTATTTAAATGTGTGCTTAGTTTTAGGTAAAAAAACAAAGCAAATTGGGGCTGTGAATATTAAACAAAATGAGATGCGAGGGGACTGAGAGTCTTCACAGAGCAGACTTCCTACTTTTCCTTGTGAAAACAACAGTTTAAAAAAGAAACCAAGTCTCACGCAAGATCTCCTGGTCTCCAGCCCTGGACTCTTTCTAATGTATTGTATCATACATATTTTTTCATCCATGATGACATTCATATTTGCCATCAAGGGAAGTCGACATTGGTCCTAAATAAATGTCCTGCGTGCCATGAAGCTGCTCAGTTCTGTGAAATTGCAGAGAACGGATTTCTTTAGAATCTCTCTTTTGCTAAGTGCCAAGTTCCTATTCCCGCCATTGAAGGACCTACTTAATGCCTTCATCTCTCCCTCCTCCTCTATTCATTCTTCTTTCCTATCTTCCTTTCTCCCATCCATCCACCCACCCAGCCTCCATCCATCCATCTGTCCTCCATCCATTCATCCAACCATCCATTCATCCATCATTCATCCGTTTACCATTCCATTCATTCATTCATCCACACATCCATTCTCCATCCAGTCATCGTCCATCCTTCCATCGGGCCTCCATCTAGCCTCCATTCTCCATCCATCTATCCTCCATCCACCCTCCATCCATCCATTCAACTAAATCCCAGCCATGCTAGGTGTTGGGGATATGGGAGTGAATGAGACAGGCATGATGTTCACCCGCCCTCATTGGGTTGCTCTCCTTTAAACCAATGTGATTAATGTGGAAGGGATTCTATAAATGATTCCAGAACTGCTAATAATACTGTAGATGCACCCGCCCACTTCTTTGTCAGCAGCATCCTCTCTGTCGTCTATTTCTGGCAATGGAATAACCCCTCTTTTATTTCAACCAAATCTCAGCATAAACTTAATATAAGTGTGGTGGGCTTGACTGAAGAGAGAATAGCCCATTCCTGCCACCCAGCACAAAGTCCCTCTCGGGCTACCCTCTGGGTACCTCCTCAGACAACCAAACTTGGAAGCCACTGATCTTGGTCTCTGCTGTTGGTCTGACATGATTTCCTATCCTTTTATTTTGACACAAGGTGCCACTCTGTTGATCAAACTGGAGTGCAGTAGCATGATCATAGCCCACTGTACCCTCAAACTCCTGAGCTCAAGTGATCCTCCTGTCTCAGCCTCCCAAGAATTACAGGCATGCCCCACCATGCCTGGCCAATTTTTTAATTTTTATAGAGCCAGAAACTCACTGTTACCTAGGGTGATCTTGAACTCCTGGCCTCAAATGGTCCTCCTAAAATGCTGGGGTTACAACCCATGCCATCACACCCAGTCATATTCTGATAGTATATATAGCTATTCTTTTTTTTTTAAGGCGGGGTTCACTCTGTCACCCAAACTGGAGTGCAGTGGCACAATGACAGCTCATCATAACCTCAGTCTCCTGGGCTCAGGCAATCCTTTCACCTTAGCCTCCCGAGTAACTGGGACTACAGGCATGCGCCACCATGTCCAACTAATTTTTTTTATAGAGACGGGATCTTGCTATGTTGCCCAGGCTGGTCTCGACCTCCTGGGCTCAAGTGATCCTCCTGCCTCAGCCTCCCAAAGTGCTGGGATTACAGGTGTGAGCCACCATGCTCAGCCAAAAATGAGATTTTAGAAAGCAAATTGCTATTTGGTAAACTAATAAAATATGTACATAATTCAGGTATAGCAGAAATTGTCCAGTAGATGTATTTTTATCTGGTCACCACAGTGTTTAAAACATTAGTTCCTGAATTTGAATGCCTTGGGACTTTGCAGATGCTTGCCCATTTTCCACAGTCACCACCAGTCTCTGTTGTCTCTTACACTCACCCTACTTCATGTGTTTATATCATTGGCCTATTTGTAGAGTGAGTCTGGTCCCTTGTTGAATTTCAAGATTTTTGCTGTCTGCTTCCCGTGGGAACCTTGTGTGTGCAATTAGAATTTTAGAGTATTATGAGAGACTGTGACTATAGCAACTTGTAGGTGTGCTCCTTAGTTGGGGGAGGTTGGTTGTTAAACACATGAGAGGCAACAAGACTCATTTCTAGAAAGCATTGTAAGAAGGTTCGAGTTACACTCACATCCACAGAGGATATGTGATGCAGCCAGCACATCTTACTAACGGACGGCAGTGTTCAGTAGAGTGTAGATGTGACCCTGTGACTCCTGATTGGGGAATGAGTGATGGTCACTGGAACTTTCCTTGTTCATAGGGTTCTTGGAGCTAGGGCGTGACTTGGTAATGGCCGTAAGTCCCTATTCTCAAGTGCCTATCTTCCTTTCCAATATTTTTTTTTTTAGTTGGGGTCTCACTCTGTCGCCCACGCTGGAGTGCAGTAATATGCTCATGGCCACCACAGCCTTGACTTGCTGGGCTCAGGTGATCCTTCCACCCCAGCCTTCGAAGCAGCTAGAACCACAGACTCGTGCCACCACGCCCAGCTAATATTTTTTACTGTAGAGATGAGGTCTGGCCAAGTTGCCCAGGCTGGTCTCAAACTCCTGGGTTCAGACAGTCCTCTCACCTTGGCCTCCCAAAGTGCTGGGATTACAAATGTGAGCTGCCGCACTTGGCTCCAATTCTTTGCTTGTTCCCTCATCACCCCTTTTTCCAAGCACCACCACACACAGCACCATGGATGAATTTCACAAACACACCCAGAAGAATGAGTCCTCTGGACTCTGGACACCTCCGCCGATCTGCCACTGAGTGCTGAAACTGGAAGACTCTCCTTCTCTGACTCAAATCCTCTCTTTCATTTCCCAGCAGATATATGGAGTGAGCACTCATTTCAGACCGACCCAGACTTGCCTCCCGGGTGGAAGCGAATCAATGACATCGCTGGGACCTATTACTGGCACATCCCAACAGGGACGACACAGTGGGAGCGGCCCGTCTCCATCCCAGTCGATCTTCCGGGCTCTAGAAAAGGGTCGCTTAGTTCTGTAACGCCGTCGCCCACCCCAGAGAACGAGGTAAAACGGAGTGTCTTATTCGTGGCTTAGTAGGGTAGATATGGTTTCCTGTAGACCAGGTGTCCCGCCCCTATGGGTCAGTGAGGTAAGCACATCATGCATGTTGCATTTGAAATCCCAAGGATGCTTCCTTATGGTAAATAGCGTTCATAGCCAGTTTTGGGGGATGCTTTTATTTTGTTAAAGGCTGTAGGTCTCCTGAAACACCATTCCAGGTACAGAAAGTGAGAGGGGCTGATTCATGAGAAGTGTGGTTAAGGCTCCCTAGGGCTCTCGGAGACAGGACTTGACTCTGCCTGGTGCTGGCTCCATCAGTATTTATATGCAGAAGAACGTCTTCTGGCCAGACCTGTTATAATGATGACGAATCCTGTTAGCCTTGGGCTCGTCGGGTAGCTTGGAGAGGGTGTCTGCAATAGTAACCCTGGAGAACCCTCAGATGCTTAATTTTTTAAAAAAAGAATCTGTTTATTTAGCAGAAATGACATGGTTTTAGAAACAATTAGCGGCATAAATTTTGCTGCCATCCCTGAGGAAGAATCTGGATGTTTAAACAAAGAATTGGGACATTAAAAAATGTTCATTGTGGTATTTATTAATATAAAGATCCCTGCAGCGAACCTCTGTGAATCCTGATAACAAAACAGTCAAGAGAATTGTGGTTGGAAAAGGTCACAGTGATGTCATGACCTTTATTTGAAGAAAACTGGTTTGACCCCTGACAGCCATTACTGCCTTTTTCTGACCACAGTCTGGTTCTTTAAACAAGCCCGTTTGTTTACTCTGAGAACACCGCAGGGCATTTGAGCTGCACCTTTTCCCTGCAGTGTCTCTATTTGCAACTGTGTCATCCTTTCTGTTGTTAAAAGCAGACAGGGTCAGGTTTCCTGCATATCTGATCGTTTCCTTGTTTTTTGGGAGGAAGTAAGGCCCACAGTCTCCCCACATTCCCACTGTTACAGGATTGGGCATCTCACTCACCTAGTCCGAACCTCAGATCTCGGACTTTAAAGTGATAGGTTGCCAAACATGGTGGCTCACGCCTGTCATCCCAGCAGTTTGGGAGGCCGAGGCCAAAGACTCCTTGAGCCCAGGAGCTTGAGACCAGCCTGGGCTACATAGTGAGATGACATCTCTACCAAAAAAAATCAGGGAATTGGCCGGGCAGGGTGGCACACGTCTGTAGTTCTAGCTCCTCAGAAGGCTGAGTTGGAAGGATCGCCTGAGCCCAGGAAGTCGAGGCTGCCGGGAGCCATCATGGTACCACTGCACTCCAGCCTGAGAGACAGAGGGAGACCCCGACTCAAAACAAAAAAAAAAAGAAGAAGAAGAAGAAAGAAAAGAGGCAACTGAGATTCAGTGATGGGAACAGCCATTCCGCTGGTGTCGGGACAGGGTCTTCTTCTCTTAATATCTTGCCTCAGGTGCTGATGATGGTTGGAGAGGAATGATTATTTCCCTCATACGATTTTTTTGATTCCTCAGAAGAATCTATTTCAACTGATTTCAAAACAGGAGAGAAAGCAAAATGGAAGAGGAGACAGGCAACCTGGAACGTGCCCCCTAGACGCGCATGTTTCAGTCACTTCTCTGACTCTAAACCACTAAGCCCCCACACCGTAAAAGTCTCCACCTTCTGTTGGTTCTGTCCTGCTTCTGCTGCTCACTGTACCATTTGTATTGACAAAGGCTTGTTCCTCCATGGAGCTTTGGGAAGGGATACGTATTTTTAGGAGTTTCAGAGGGAGTGACTCATAGCAGCACTTCCATAGCGCAAAGGGATAGATACTCTTTAGATCAATCTTTCAATGTCCCCTTCATACAAATGCTCCCCCCAATCTTACAGCTATCTGTTTCTGTTTTTTGTTTTCTTTTGAGTTGGAATCTCACTCTGTCACCCAGGCTGGAGTGCAGTGGCATGCTCACGGCCACCGCAGCCTCAACCTGCTAGGCTCAGGCAATCCTTCTACCTCAGCCTTCCAAGTAACTGGAACTACATGTGTGTGCTACCATGCCTGGCTAACTTTTTGATATATTGTAGAGACGAAGTCTTGCCAAGTTGCCTAGGCTGGTCTTGAACCCATGGGTTTAGGCAATCCTCTCGCCTCAGCCTCCCACAAGTGCTGGGATTACAGACTTGAGCCACCGCACCTAGCCACAGCTATCCATTAAGTTAAAGAGCCAAGCAGGTTTAAAAGGCAATGAATTAAGATCGTAGAGGCAAAGAACTGAATAGATAGAAGAATGAGGGAACAGGAAGAAAGTCCCAGCCTACCAGGTAGCCCAGATGTGGAGGCACTCACACTGAAGTCGACCAGAGGCATTAGGACAAAACACGCATTTACAATGCTGGGCTAACTCCCCACAAAACCTTTACAGGCCAGGCGCAGTGGCTCACGCCTGTAGTCCTAGCATTTTGGGAGGCCAAAGCAAGAGGACCGCCTGAGCCCAGGGGTTTGAGATCAGCCTGGGTAACATGACAAGATCTCATCTCTACAGTATATCAGAACAAAACAAAAATAGCTGGGCATGGTGACTGAGGCAGAAGGATCACCTGAACCCAGCAGGTCGAAGCTGCAGTAGCCATGATTGTGCCACTGCACTCTAGCCTGGGTGACAGAATGGGACTCCAACTAAAAAAAAAAGCAAAAACAAAAAAAAAACAAGCAAAACAACAAAAACTGCTTACACACCGGGTTTTATAGTTGTCTTTCCCATGGTACATTTGACAACACTAAGACACAGGTTGAGGAACCTAGGCAAGATCACACAGCTGATACATGGCTAGAGTCAAGCTTGAATTCTCATCTGCTGACCACCACCTCTACCCCAGCCTTCACAAAAAATAATGGATACTGGGGAGGCTTGAAGACTCTGCATCCCTGCGTCTCACCCCAAGGGCAGGCTGTATCACACGCAGAGCCTCCTGGAAAATGACTGCCCTAGATAGAATTGGCTCAGGCACTAATGACAGTTGAAGAGGAATGGTTATTTCCTGACCCTGTTTGATTCCCAGATAGAATCTATTTCAACTCATCTCAGAACATGAAGAAAAACGACATGTTCAGGGAGAGAAGAAACGTGGACTCTGCCATGGGAGAAATCACATTTTATCCCACTTTTTTTTTTTTCTGAGTTGGCTTCCAAAAAAGAGAATCAAACAAGTACTACATCTGTTGACGAAGCGTCACAAAAGTTCAGGACGGAAGGCTTCCTTACAGTTGGGCGGTTTTACATTTCACATTGGAAAGTTCACCCAGGAGGTGTTACGTGCGCCGAGAATGTGTCCGCCGCACATGGCGGCCGCATTTTAGAAAGTTTATAAACTGGCCAGGAATCACTTGCTGCTGAAACTTGGCACCCTCCCCACCCCCCGGTACCAAGCCATTTGTTTGTTCCAAATCGCCTCACAAATTACTTGGATGTCAAATTTCAGAGAAAAGAGAGAACCGCGCAGGATATTTTTCAGATTCACTGTTGGCCTGTGGCCAAGTCTGAGAGTCTCTTCCACAGAAGGTTTCTGGGCTCCCTAAGGAAGGCAATATGTGGAGGTTTCTCAGAACTGAGTCTCCTACATCCAGACCACTCTGTTCTTGCTGAAGCACTCGTGGCCTCAAGATGGGCCAAGCCACAGTCTCCCCAAGGGCGGTAACACAGATACCCTTAGACCCTGTGTGTTTCTGTGCACACTTGGAAATATGACAGCATCCTGCTGGGTGCTGTGGCTCACGCCTGTAATGCCAGCACTCTGGGAGGCTGAGGCGAGAGGGTTGCCTGAGCCCAGGAGGTCAAGACAGCCTGGGTAACTTGGCAAGACATTGTCTCTACAATAAAATAAAATAAAAAATTACCTGGGTGTGGTGGCGTGCACCTGTGCTTCCAGCTGCTTGGAAGGCTGAGGTGAAAGGTTCACCTGAACCCAGCAGGTCGAAGCTGCAGTGGCCGTGAGCATGCCACTGCACTCCAGCCTGGGCAACAGAGGGAGACTCTGACTCAAGAAAAAAAGAAATATGACAACATCCAAGGGCCATTCTGTCATCATTTTTCTGAACTTCCTGTATCAATCAAATGATCATGACATTGGAGCGTGTGAAAGAACCTTGGAGAAGGGCCTGGAGCAGGCGAGGGCTGTATTTCCCAGCAGTGAGCTGGACCACTGTCAGGAAGACCTCCAGGAATTGTAAAACATGCTGCTTTCCAGGTCCCTCCTCAGCCCTGCTAGTCAGACTTTCTGGAGATGGAGCCTGGGAACCTTTTTCATAGGGATTTGAAACTGAGTACTGTGACAGCTGTATTTATTTATTTATTTTATTATATATATATTTTTGGGGCTCAGGGGATCCTCCCACTTCAGCTTCTCAAGTAGATGGGACTTACAGGTATGTGCCACCACACGTGGCTAACTTTCTGATTTTTGTAGAGACAAGTCCTTGCTTTGTTGCCCAGGCTGGTCTCAAACTCCTGACCTCAAGGGATCCTCCCGCCTCGGCCTCCCAAAGGGATTAAAGGCATAAGCTACCACACCTGGGTTTAGTTTCCCTATTTTTTTTTTTTTTGAGTTGGAGACTCACTCTATCACCCAGGTGGGAATGCAGTGACACACTCATGGCCACCCCAGCATTGACCTGGGCTCCAGCAATCCTTCCACTTCAGCCTTCCAAGTAGCCAGAACTACAGGTGCGCGCTACTACACCTGGCTAATTTTTATTTTATTGTAGAGATGAGGTCTCGCCAACTTGCCCAGGTTGTTCTCAAACCCACGGGCTCAGGCAGTTCATTCGGCTCAGCCTCCCAAATTGCTGGGATACAGGGTGAGCCACTGAGCCCATTCAGTTTCCCTATTTTTATCTGCATGTCATTTCCTCATTCATTCTTGGGACTCACCCCAGTGTCTCCTAGGAGCTAACGCGCTCACCGTTGACTTTGAACGTCCTTTATTCCAACACGTTCCTTTACGTTCTTACCACCTGTCACATGCCAGCCTTCCTCCAGGAAGCTCC